GGGTGTATACTGATACTGATACGACACAGACTCCGAGTTCAAAGATTGTCTAGCAGAGTTCATTCGCGACTTCAAAGTCACAAAGATGCACTCGCTGGCCGAAATCATCAACTTCAACCTCGACCACCCCGAACTCTGCCTACCACCAAGTACGTCCCTCCAAACCACCCCATCTCCTCCTTTTACTAACACTCCCCAGCCTGCCCCGACCAAAACGACCTAATGGCCGCCCTCCAATCCACAACCAAACGCGAAGAAGTAAACGCCGCGCGCCAACACCTCCAAACCGCCGGCGGACCCGAAGGCCTCGACTACCTCTTCACAACCCTTTCCCTCGACCTCATCGTCGCACCCGGCGACGCCCCCCTCTCCGCCCTCGCAGCCGCAGCCGGCTACCCCACAGCCGCCTGTCCCTTATCCGCGCTCAAACTAAACGGCCAACCTTTCGGCATAACCCTCGCCTCGCGCCCCCACACCGAACACACCCTCCTCCACTTCCTGACCGCCTACGAAAACATCTTTCCGCCCCGCGCGCTCCCCATGCCGTTGAGTTCGGTGCCGCTGCAGGATCCGCACCCGGAGCCGCTGCCTGATCAGCCTATTGTTGATCTGATCCTGCATGAGTGGGATACGAGGCGCTTTAGCTGTAGTGCGGATGCGTTGGCGGATTGGCTTAATGCGCGCTGGCGGAAGAGTGGGTATGAGTTGAGTGCTGAGACGGTTTGTGAGGTGTTGAGGAGTAATGGGAGGATTGCGTTTAGGGGGCTCGGGGATGATGCCGAGGGGGCGTTTTCGAGGTGAGGGGGTTGTGTGATTATGGTTATGTTATGATTATGAGTGTTTTTTGGTGTAAGGTTTTTGGTGTAAGGTTCGTTTAAGTAAATTAGCGCGGCGTCTGGTGGTTTGGGCTTTGTGATTTTGTTGGTACCTAGGTAGGGTTTAGTTGGGGTGTTGGGGTGTTGGGGTGTTGGGTTTTAGCAAGGGATCTCCACAACCAGTCGCTTCTTTGTGAGTCACAGCAGGTTCTTCACGCTACGACCCACAGCTTGCTTGAGCTCCCACACAGAAGTTTTGAGAATTGGTTATGATGATGCAGTGCATTGCGAACCCGTCAGTGACATACCTGCGGCTATATTGTATTGGACTTGGAATTCTTCCATCAACCAATCAACCACAAAAGCTGCTTGGCGCAGCGGAAGCGCGCCGGGCTCATAACCCGGAGGACCTCGGATCGAAACCGAGAGCAGCTAGATTGATTCCTTCTTTTTTGCCAATTTCTTGCACATGCCCTGTTTTCCCTTGCGCACCATGCATACATGCCCAGGTGCTATCTTCCTTTTATCGACATTCTTTTTGCATCAATTCCACGCGCAGAAATTAACATGCTGTCTATATGTTACCTAGGTATGCGTTCCGTGATGAGATTTATCCAGGCACAGAAGGCTCCAGGTCGTTGATTGCTGGCTCCAATCCGACGTAAACCGCGATTCTGACGCATCCTACAAGCCATGGGAATACAACTCGATTGTTCGAAATCTACACAGCAGGTGTCAGTCCTGACATCTGTGTACATCTTTGCGAGTTCATTGGATACGTATTCACAACATAGGTTCTTATGACTAATGATCTTGCAGTGTTCCAAGCATCATAGGCATCAACGATAACCACTACAATGAACCGTCTACTTCAGCCAACATCAGCGCGCGACAGAGCCTGTTCCACTTCTTTTGTCACATGATAATCACATTACACTTGCGCTAGTCTTGGTCAAAGGTCCGCTCAGTCTTCTACATTTGTTGTTCTTCACACCCAGACGCCTACACCTCACCACAACAATTATTTCCAGCCAAGTAAACTGTCATGTCGGCGGCCAACAACATACGTGTTCATGTACGTAATGCAAACACTATTCACGGCGTTATTCATCACGATCTCCTTGCTCGTCATTGTCTCCTCGACGATGCCCGTCACGCTATCGGACCAGACTACACCACCGCGCCCAATCTAGGTTTACTTTCTCGGCTTCCGGTAGAGTTGCAACAGCAAATTGTCTTGCACATGGATGTTGCTACTGTATTGACGTGGAGAGGAGTCAACAGAATGGCAATGGACTTGGTATCTAAAATGTTTGAGTGGAAAGAGGTAAGCGAGAGATGCTCAGAGTAACAGCTTTCGGACTAACGCGGTAATCGTAGATCATCGCACTCGCTCCAAGCACCCTAAGAATGGCCATTGGAATTCACTCGCAGGCCACGTTTAGTCTCGCTGACCTTCATACCGCCCTCCACCGCCGGATCTGTGATACTCAGGGCTGTGACACCAATATCACACAGTATATGAATATGAAGACTCTCGCACGCCTCTGCCAGAACTGCTTCGCGCCTCACGCATGGCGTATAGAACACAATGTTTCACTCGCATTGGTCCATGGAGAGGAGCTCAGGCTGATTGAGTTGTTCCATACTCTCTACGCGAAAGAAAGGAGTGAGTCTAGCAAGGAAATTGCTGGGTCACGCAAGGTACCTGTTACTGAGAAAATGGCCTTCGTCTATATGGGCGCGCTGGAGAAGTGAGATAAGGTGTTGCAGTAACAAAGGGTCAAGGTATCGATGGCGGAGATGCGGACAAAAGCTGGGCTGGTGGGTTGGCTTGGAACGAAGACAGTGGACGTTACTAGGGGATGACCGAAGCTAGGTCGCCCTTTTCTAAATACACACTATCAAATGATATTGAACAAGTATTACCGAAGGTAACGTATACTTCAACCTGCGCTATATCCATGAAACATCTAACGCGAAAACATCTTGTCGTCTCCTAGTCCCAAGATAGCGACTCCACCATTGCACGCTGAGGTGAAGTAGACTTCTGCGTCACCACTACTTTGGCAAAAACATATCTTCCTAAGCAAGTATACAAACAGCACTGTTGCCAGAGCAGAAAGAGCGTCAAAAAGAAAGATAATGAGTTGGACATGGCGAAACTCGAATCCGCGTCTCCCTGCATACACTCGTGGACTAGCACGCACAGCGGCTTTACGGGCGCCTTGCCATACTCGCTTTTTGAGTCTAGACCACATGCCCTTGAAGTGTTTTCGATGACTAATCTTAGGATTGAATGAGATGTAACAATAGTGAAAGAAGAGGAGATTGGGTGGGTGGAGTGGCGGCGGGTCGGCTTCACCTGGACAGTATGTAGCGCTCGTCGGTATCGATGGCCTCACTGCTTGCTTCTACTGCACTCTCGACGCAGGTATCTAGGTACGGTCTTAGGTTAAGCAAGGTATCGGAAATTTCCTAAGTGTAAAAAGTGGGCTGTAAGAGTGGTATTGCTTGTCCTACTGGTACTGACTTAGTAAACGTGAAAGTCCTGGTCTTCTTCATTACACTATGCCTCTTTGCTGTGCGCTTTTACATTTTGATGAGCTTGTGGAAACCTCTCCGACTGGAACTGTCGCATTTTGCTGAGATATATGGACGGCTCCTACGTTGCGGGATTTTTTGCGTGGAATATGCTTTCGTTTTGCTGTGAGAGCCAGGAGGGCTATCTTTTGTCATTGCGTATCACACATCGGATAGCAGGGTCTCTGTCGGTCTGACTGTCGGACGTGGGTGTTGAAGGTACTGCATGCCGGACCTGTTGACTCCATGAGTTTGGTGTATTGATAGCGGGTGGGAACAAGCTCACCGATCATGCATCGAGCCGAGATTCTGCCTCCCGCAGCGATTCCCTGACTGATGCTTTCAACGTCCTGGCTCCTCCTTTAAGCTCTCAATCTCCACTTTTTGACCATCATTCATCAACAATAGTGCAATATTGTCCCCCTCCAAATCCTCAATCTTTGTCGCTTGTGCCTCACTCCATGCTTCCCTCTTAAGAAGATCCTTTTTACAGCGATCGATCTTCCCCTGAAAGTCTTTTTTCTCGCTTTTCCAGTCTTCTTTCTCATTCTTCAAGTCTTTATTCTCACTCCACAATTCCTTGTTTATCCCCTCCGAAATACCAAACTTCTTCTCTAACTCTCCATACTTTGCCACCCACCCGTCGTGCACAATCTTCGTCTTCTTGTTCGCCTCTGCCAACATTTTTGTGCCGACTGATTCCTCAGTCGTGTCTGACTTACGTTTCTTTTGTGGGAGAGGGCATCCTGTCTTCGTATGCCCAAGCTTCTGACAGTTGAAGCAACGGATAGTTTCCGTCTGAGGGCAATCGTCGATGAAATGGCCTGGTAATTCGCAGTGGAGGCATTTGGGTGGGAACTTTTCGCACGTCTCTCGGTAATGGCCGTGCTCCCCACAGCTCAAGCACAGATGAGCTGGGTTCTTGCAAGTGGTATCGAAACAAGGTGCCACCATGTCGAATTTTGGCGTGGATCTTTGGCGTTTTAAGGGAAGCCGTAGAGAAGTAGGCTGGTCGAGAGGAGATGATGAAAGTGGTGAGATGGTATGAGTGAGCTGAGTTATCTGGCAGTGTTGAGAATTATTAGCGAGGAACGTACCATGAAACCATCACCAACAAACCCCACCACAACAACCAATCCAGTGCCGCGCATATCGAAAGGGTCGCTTCCGTTACGTGTTGACTTGAGGAGCGAGCTTTCTTCCAACGGGTTCTAGATCATTCTCATTGTAGTGATAATGCGCGATGATGAGACGACACAGCCTCCACCAAGACCAGGCTTTGGTGACTCTAGATCCAAGACATCAGTGTGTGATTACCCTATTTGAGAGAAAGAATGAACATCCTAAAGCCTACATCAACGTTAGGTCATCTGGTTTGCATGTTCTCATCTCAATGTAGGCCACAGACCTATTCAGTTTTCCCCGTACGAGGCATGGTTAAGCACGTCGTTAATGAGAGCTGACAGTGTGAAAGATGCCAGGAAAGCTTACACGAATAGTTATCTGCGAGACTAGTAATACAAAGAAGGTGTGTCTGGTACATCCCGATGTCACCGTCCCGCACTCTTTCGACGAACGCTTTAGCTCACCAACCCAGGACCGTCAGGCTCGTCCAATTCTCTTTTCAAGTGCGCAAATGCTCTCCGGGTAGTATTCTGTGATACCGTAAGTTCTGCGAAGATTCTTTGCACCATCTAGGGGTTGCCTCTGAGCTTTTACTAAGTCAGGGTCGTTCCCAAAGTTGTCATTTATGTCCAGGATGAGGAGACTAAACTGGATATCCACGGTATACAGTGTAGTCTTATAGTTCCGATCCCATACGCTTTTCATACGCATTTTCATACGCCTGTACGTCTCCAGTGCTCCATGAAGCTGCGTCGCGAGAACGAGGGCTGCATCAAATCTCCATCTCAGGTCACCACCGCTTTCCTTGACCTCGACGAAGTCGATTTCGTTTATGAGCATATCGACCGTGGGGAAAATGTCATGTGGCTTCTCCACGAAAAGATTCTGTACGTATTCTTCGTAGACTTGCATTTCCGCTTTGGCTGCACTCGGGTCAACCTTGCGTAGTTCAGTGTATCGCAAGTCTATTCGTTGCCATTAGTACAGTAGCATGATAGATAAGATGTCAACGGGTAGGTTACTTTTGTGTAGACCTTGCATCTTGAGAATTGCGTAAGGATCCGTGTTGATACTCGCTGTGAACGCACGCCAGCCTTCGTGCTGAGTCTTTGCTACTCGTAGATCTTCGCGTAGCTGACCAATCTCATACAGGGCGCGCTGCAGCTGTTGTTGCCTATCTTGTAGCGTTTGACGCGTCTCAAGCAATTCTTCTCGCATCGCGGTGCCGCGCGTATCATCTCCATTCTTCGTACATTCTTTGCGAAGGTGTCCAAATTCGCTGCAGCCGTAGCACTGTATTTTGGCCTTGTCAGGGCAGTCATCCATGATATGACCTTTTCCTCGACAATGGAAGCAAGTTGCCAACGGACAATCCTTGACCCAATGTCCCTGGGCGTTACATTTGAGGCATCGGCCGCTTCCAGGAACAACTTCGCCGGCGTAGTCGTTCAAGCCTGGGCTTGAAGAACGTGAGCGTGGAGGCGAGCTCATGATGCTGTCGCGTGCTGCGTGGGAGTGTTCGCGAGCTCTAACAACCTCCGAAGGAAGAGTGCTTGCAAAATAAGAACTGGGTACCATATGCGCCATGCTTGCTCATGGATAGATGTCTTTGTAGGAATTCGCGTTGTGTTCGAAGGGTACGCCTGAGGGACGACGACGACATACCCACCACATCGCGGGCGCGACGCGTCGCGTTTCAGAAGACCTCGTGCTTGTCACGTTCGTGCCGTGCAGGCTACGTTCGCGCCGTGCAGGCTACGTTCGCGCCGTGCAGGCTACGTTCGCGCCGTGCCTGTCACTTTCGTGCTCGTCACGTCCCGCCGACTAGGCTTGAGATAGTTTAGCTGACATGGAATTAACGCGCATGGAAGTATAAATGCATCCGGCTTACACCGAAACCGAAGATCAGACGAACTCCCGAGGTCTTCGAAGCTTCAGCTGGTGCAGACACTGCCCAGGTGGTATATAGCCGTTGTGACAGCATCTAACAGGCTCCAAAACGTGCACCGAACGCGAAGAGATATCATGTTATAGAGTGCGCTTCGTTGCTCAAAAGCATACAAAGGTATTGAGATTGCAGAACATGAAGTGAAGGGCCGATGTGGACGTCGCGGTGGAAGATAGTTCGCGCTAAATTCTGGGGCTTACGGGAAAACCTACGGCTACCTCCAGGATATCTAATACCCACAAGATACTGGAGTTAGGAAAGCGAAGAAATGGCATAGTACAGAAATGCACGAGGGTGTTCGGACTGTTTGCTGCAAGCGACCAGTGGGTGGTTTCCATAAGTGAACTAGCCTATTACATGATCGCGCTAAGGTATCTCGCGCAGACGCTGGGACTCCGCTCCTCCCCGACGCTGAACCTACACTCCCGTTCGCAAAATGCTATCGCGCGAACATATGGCCTCACCGAGCCCAACATACGACCGCCGCAGCAATCGTCTCTGGCATTTTCCCGTCGCTGTTAGGTATCGTGTACCCCGCGGTTAGACGCGTCGCGAGGTGCGCGTGTCCAGATTGCGCCTATGGCTTTCGACTTGCTGCTTTACCAAATCCATACTGGCCCCTAGGATACTCGTCATTGTCATGAAATCACCTATATCTTGGAAACTGACACGTGTCACTATGCTCAAACACGATGTCACGCCGAGGAGCGTCGAATCTGGCTGAGACATCTGCTATGTGCTACGCACTTGCCTCTTGAAGATGGGATTGCTGCTATCTCTAGCTACAGTCAACACGTGGGTACGCACACGACATGCCAGTTGAACCATCACAGTTATCCATTGCTGTGCCATAACTACACTTACCTCACCCAGGAGATTACCTATCCACATTTTGCTGCTGGACTCGGAAGTCTGGTATCATGTCCTCTCTCACCTACTGCGGGACAGACACATTTCGTCACCATCAGGTCCTCTCTATCCAGGCCTGGACGCTCTCTCACCCTTCACCTTTCACGCTCATCACGACGGCCTACACGTGGCTTTCTGCTAGGCTGTGGCTGGCTATATAAGCAGGTCTCTTCTACTCTTGTCCTCTCTCTTCCTTTCCATCAACTTCTCCATTCTACTTTATAAGTAAACCTCTTCCACGCTTGTCACCTCTCTTCTCTCCCAACAACTTCCTCATAGTACACCGGCTTATGGGACAACTCAAGACTCAAGTACCACTCAAGACTATGGAGCTGGAACCCATCCTCAGTCTTGAGGAGTTCCCAGCGTATGTCCAACCCCGAAGAGTGGTGTCGCGTTATGATGCCAGTCAAGAGAACAAGCCGAACCTTCCCTGGTGGAAACTTGACAAAGCTGGGATCGACATCCTGCTGAAAGCATTTGCACACCTTATCATTGAACTTCTCAAAGGCTCCCCGGATACCGACAAAGAGCTCCAGTATCTGCTACGTACAGCTATTAAGCTAGCTTATATCCCCCTTGTGTCTCACCTGCGGCTATTATTACCTATATAATTATATACTCTATAATATATTCTATTTACTTTAGCTAGCTATTCTATAACTCTCTAATTTTTAAAGTTTATAATCTTTATACTATAGCTTATAAAAATATAGTTAACTTATTTCTTTTATAAATTATATATAAAGTTAGTAGTAAAGTTTAAGAACTTTTATTCTATAAATACTAGAGTATACTTAAGTATTTAAAGTTATTAAAGAAAGCTATCTAGTGCTGCTAGTTTAGCTATAAAAAAAGCCTTATTATTAATTATTTCTAATTAGACGTTAGCTATATCTTTAATATTAATACTATAATATACTTTAAAAGTAGCTAATATAAAAGTAATACTTTTTTATATTTATAATCTACTCTTTAAGAAAAGAGAGAATATAAGTAAGAAAAAACCTCTTTATTTATAATATATCTTTACTTATAGTAGTAAACTATCTAAAGTAAAAAAACTTAAAAAAGATTCTTATAAGTACTATATAGCTATAGAAGCTAAGCTAGATATTAAAGCTTAAGAAAGTAGTAGTAATAATTAGTTTATTTATAGTTATATATACGTTATATAAGTAATAAAGATATAGTAGTAGTAACTATCTTATATTTCTCTTCTAACTTATATTTAAGTATAATATAATACTTTAGTTTTTTATTTTTATTTTATAGTACTATAGTAGCAACGTAAATAAGTAACTTATAACTTCTAAAATCTATATATACCTATCTAATTAGGTCCTCTTAAAAAGAGAAGTATTATTAACACAAGAGCTAGCTTATGTCCTGCGAAGCGCTGCTGTCAAGGTCGCCTTAATCGGAGCTTAAGGTGCAGGGAAAAGCCTGGCGATCAACGCTCTTTTCGACTGTGATGGTCTCTCGCTCACCGGTGCAGAAGGCGCGGCTTGTACCAGCTCGATCACCCGATACGTCCAGTATCCAAAGAGCACGACTGGTGAGGACAAGTTCTTTGCTGAGATCAAATTCTTCACCCGAGAGGAGCGCGAAGCATTGCTCAAGGAGCACGCTCGGTCGTACTACTTTTACCACAACGCAGACGACGACTCAGATGATGAGGAGTCTCCGCGGACAAAGTCGGTCGGCCAGGACCAGATGGATCGCAGCCTGAACGATACAGCCGAAGACATCTTCACAACCCTGTTTGGCTCCTACGACGAGTTTTCCGAACACTGGAACGTACCGGATTACAAAGCAGGGGAGTTCGTGCGCCTGTGCCAACTGAAATGCGACGAGGCTCTGAAGAAGGAGCAAATCGACTCTCAGGGGATCGCGACTAAGATGGCAGATACTCAAATCGAACTGCTGGAGCAATTGCGACCGTTTCTTACTAGCATCAAGGGTCAAAAGTGTTTATGGCCGCTTGTGGACAACATTTCAGTCAGATTCCATCATGAACTCCTTCAAGGAGGGATCGAGATCATTGATCTTCCAGGTAATTATGTCTTCATTTCTGGTCGGAACTTGCTAACCATACACTAGGTTGGGGTGACATCAATCTTTCCAGAGTCCGACACGCGGAGAAGATCAAGGATACCGTCGACGTTGAGATCATTCTAGCAGACACGATACGCATCGCCTCTGACGACAAAGTCATTAACAGCACACGGGCAGCTGTTGCTCATCATGGCCCTTCGAAGGTCAAAGTCGTCGCAACAAAGATCGATGTAAGTTGTTATGTCTCCTAACATTCAACATGTGGCTAATTCCTATAGTCTCTCACCAAAAACCAGCTGTCTCAATGCAAAGGCGGAGAATTTGATCGCATCAACCAGCTGCTCCAGGAGGTCGAAGAAAAAGAAGCCGCGCTCGATGATAACGACGATGACGATGATGGAGTCAATGCCAAAGAGCGCAGATTGTTGGGTCAATATCGTATCTACCTGGAGCGAACACGAAAGCAGAGAAAGATACTGCAACGTGCAGACAACATCTCCGCAGAGCTGATGTCAAAGCTTCGCAGTCGGTCAACCAACGATATGCCCCAAATTTTCCACGCATCCGCCTCTGAGTACATGGATTGGATACGCAAACCAAAATTGACCTTCGCAAACCAGCCATCCTTGTCGCCCGACATGACTGGTATTCCTGCCATTCGCGAGTTTCTCTTCTCACTGCCAGCACAACAAAGCTTGAGAGACTACGAACGCCATATCAACGTCACGGTCTCAGCTTTCATTGAGAAGATGAAGAAGACAGTGGCAGAGAATGAGCGTGATGGGGGTTTCCGAACGATAGCTGACGACTTCGACGCTCACCGCAGAGGTTACATGACGCGACTCCTCTCAGAAGCGAAGTCAGCATTCCAGCGATGCTCCGATGACAGCATTAAGAAGATTGAGAAAGACATCCCTAACTTCAAAGAGCAGCTTGAAGAGAAAATGACCGCAGAATGGTTCATACTCAAGGCGGCAGCTTTCACCCGAATCGTCAAGTGCCGTGGTGTCGTTCCGAAAGGCGCATCTAGAGCCAGAGGCCTCGAAGATGGATGTCACTGGAACAAGGAACTGGCAGATCTACTTGCACCTGGTTTCAACAAATGGTACAACACGCACAGGTTGTGCATGGCGAACATGAAACCAGCACTGAGTCAGAGCTTGCACCAGCTCCATATGAAGATTAGTAAAATGATCAACGACTCTAGCGCAAACATGGTCACTATCGAGAAGGCCAAGAAGAAGTGGGAACCGCTGCGCACCCGACTCCAGGCTAAGCTTATGGTGCTGATGGACGATGTCAGCAAGCTGGAGAAGTTGATGTTCGAATCGGCAACCATGGAATTCGGTCAAGAGAGGACCCTTATCTCATACATGACTGATGACCTCTACACCGAGGTTTTCGAAGCGGTACCCGAAGAGAAACCACCTCTACCGGTAAAATCAGGAAAGAAGAAGCCAGCAAAACGGTACGTTATGCCCAAGATCAAGTTCCAGAAGAAGCGCATGGAAGACTTGTTCCTGAACCCAGATTCACACTTCATCGACCAGGTCCTCAAGCGCTTCCAACTAGAGTTCAACGACGCAATGCGCACTCTGCTAGAGAAGCATTTTGTTAGCATCGACAAGTTGTTGGAGAACCTAAGCGCAAGTCTCCGGGCAGAGGCACCTATCGATTATCGCATCACCAAAGAAGGCGAGGCTATCCGTGCCGAGTTAGCGCAGCACATCCCGATGTTCGAGGAAAAGGCCATGGAACTAAGGAGCAAATTGCCACAGACAGTAAAGCCCGAAGACGAAATGGCTCTCACGCTTGTTAATACCGACGCGTTCGATGGAGATGACGAAGACAACCTCGCCATATTCTACGATAAGATGGTGAAGACCAAGCGGAAGGATCCTGAGCCTACTATCCGGCGACCCAAGCGGATCAAGACAGAGCCTGTCTGAGGCTATCTCGACAACACAGGATCTGGCGTGTACCTCCAGGACCAACTCTTGATCATCTACTCGTCAACCAAGGTTCCCACATATTCGGCAATTTGTCTACGCGAAACGGGATGGTCGTGGCTACATATCATCCTTTCTCTACTTCAGGCTCTCTGTTAGACCAAACTCGGAGCCATGCTGCATGGTAGCCTTTCACTTTGGAACTACGCCGCGATCGCCGTGCAGGCGTATGCAAACTATCATTTAGGGCGTATGCTTCTTGCTTTTCTTCCAGCGTTTACGGTTTCTTTTCTCAGCGACAGCAGCAATTACTTTGGCGATGTCTTTCGTTCTATTCAGCAGGCGACTTTGAGCCCACTCTCTGGGTTCGGTCTGTTCTGCGCAAAAGTTCCTCATCATCGAGCCATCTTTCTTACATACTCAGTCATAGCAACATGAATCACATTCAAGATACCAGCATACCTTTGCCTCCAGTTCATGGTATACGTGATTAACCCGGTCGTCCACTTGATGTCTCTAACTCGGTGCCTCTGACACGCTGCAAACATTCACGCTCTTCCAATGTGCACTGAGACCTTCGTCTGTTAAGAGGAACTGAGAGGGATATAATAATAGTCGCTAACGAAAATGTGTATGTATCCAGCACGCGAAAGATGAAAGGAGAGTCGAACCATACAGTACACCAACAGCAATCCACATCTCCTACTCCAAACTCACCAAACACCAGTATCGTATATCCACCACCCATGTCCTACAGCCACCATGGCCCTCCACGCAAACCCCTACAATCCATCTTCCACAGGTATCATCCAACCCCCCTCTACGCGCCATCCCCCCACAGCCCAACAACCTGCATCGCAAACGCGCAACCCGCCAACCCCGTCTTAACCCACTCAACCACCTGCTTCCGCTCCACCGCCAAGCGCACCTGCTCGCCATTCACCTCATCGCCCTGCGCCTCCAACTCCATAACCTGCCTCTTCTCATTCCCGCCCTCGGTCAGACCAACCGCATAGTCGACACCGGGTCCAGACACAAACGCAAAGATAGATGTGTAGAGCAGGTACGGGTGGCGGAAGCGGGCGGGCGAGAGACAGTATGCGGAGAAGAGGGTGAAGGTTGTTATGTGGCGGAGGTAGGAGGATAGGTTTGTGGATTTGGTGGTCAGGTAGATGAGGGAGGTGCGGGCGTTTATGGCGGTGGGGAGGGCGAGGAGGGAGGGGAGGGCGACGGTCGAGACGGTTGCTGAGACGCCCTGAGGGGGTGTTAGTATGTGAACAGTGTGTCTAGAGTTTGTTGAGGGGATATGATATGGGGAGGGGAGGGTTAGAGCTCTGATAGCTTCATGCGGGGAGCCTGGAGAAGTGAAGTGGCGGGTGGTTGACTTACAGTTGCGATTCCTAGGGTGATTGTTCCGACGAATTTACATATTGAGACTGTTTGGGCGGCCATTGTGATGATACCGTGAGGGTTTTGGGAGATTGCCTTGCTCTGTCTATCGCGCGGGTTCTTTGTCGTGGAGTTATCTGTTGGCAATGCAGGTTGACGTGCATGCAGCGCTTGGAAGATTGCGGAGATGCTGCGGGCATCATCCGGAGCAGGCTGTCATCTTTCGGAGAAATCCAGATGGCCCAAGCTTCCCCTTCCAGAATGCGGAGAAAGAGCACATGTTAATCAGTAATCATAGGCTACACGTCCTATAGAAAGAAAGATGTTGATTTATTATCAGGACGCTCCTTATCGTACATACTCTGCACAGTCTATCAAACCTATAAAATGTATTCGATGCGCGCAATGCATCGCCCAGGGCGGATCGCAAGCATCAAGAGAGTAATCTTGCCAGTAGTCGTACCTCGGCTTACAACACCAACGCGTATCCTGCTCGCATCAGCCGGGGCTTGCGGCCGTAACTTTCACACGACGTGAGCAACCTCAGCTACTTATACTCCACTCCATATTGATCTCCGCATTCGACGATAACTCCCAACGTCATCACCTGCTCACTCACCACCGCTAGTCCTGCACGCTTCCAGTCCGACGACCCCGATAGCACAGAACCTGCCTGGAAAACACCGCGCACCATGCCTATGGAGAAGTACCAGTTTATGAGCAATGTCTGGAGGGATGGCATCTTCGGTATGTCTCACGTAGGCGTAGATAGGCAGACTTGGCCTATAACCACAGCTCAAACAGCCCAACCTCTCCATGCTAACAACCACCCAGACAACAAAGTCGTCTTCTGCACCGGCGGCGCCGGCACAATCTGCTCGGCCCAAGTCCGCGCCATGGTCGCCCTGGGCGCCAACGCCTGCATAATCGGGCGCAACGTCGAAAAAACCGAAAACATGGCCAAAGACATCGCAACCGCGCGCCCCGGCGCCCGCGTCCTCGGCATCGGCGCCATCGACGTACGCAAACCCGAACTCCTGCAAGAAGCCGCCGACCGGTGCGCCCGCGAACTCGGCAGCCTGGACTTTGTCATCGCAGGCGCAGCAGGCAATTTCCTCGCGACCATCGACCAGATCAGTCCGAATGCGATGAAGAGCGTTATCGATATCGATGTGTTGGGGAGTTATAATACGGTTAAGGCGACGCTGCCGTATCTTAAGGAATCGGCGGGGAGGTATAGGACGGATGGGACGACGCTGCCGGCTAATGGGACGGGTGGGCGGATTATCTTTGTGAGCGCTACATTGCATTACACAGGTACACCGATGCAGTCCCACGTCTCGGTCGCGAAAGCAGGTGTAGACGCCATGGCCATGTCTGTCGCTATTGAGCAAGGCCCCCGTGGTATCACATCCAATATCATTGCTCCTGGGCCTATTGCTGAGACTGAGGGTATGGCGAGGTTGTCCAAGTCGGATGCTAAGAGTAGGGTGGCTAAGGCCGTGCCGTCTGGTCGCTTTGGGTTTGTCAAGGAGATTGCGGATGCGACTATCTATCTGTTTTCTGATGCGGGCAACTTTGTTAACGGCGAGACGCTTGTTGTGGATGGTGGCGCGTGGCATACCGCGGGCTTTGCGGGTGGGTTCGAGTATCCGGATTTCATGCTTAGTGGGGAGAGTGTTACGGGGGTTAAGGGCGGGAAGAAGAGTAAGTTGTAGAGAAGAGATGTAGAGACTGGTAGATGTGGAAATTGAAGAACGATTTTGCGGGCTACGAGGACGCTGGATTTATGAGTTGTACCTTCTGACGCTGCCGTGGAGGCATCCAACAGATCCCTTGCTTATAGTCGTGTCCATCTAACGGCAATGTATCCATCAAAGCGTCTCTTGGTAACGCGTACAACCCTTTCAGAGCGAGCGTCTTCGTCAAGTAGAGTAGTGAGACTGGCACATCTCACATCAAGTTGCGATTCAAGCGTAAGTAACCCGGCCATGTGTTGCATTGCGTTCCCTTGATTATTCTCGTTCACGTATAACTGTTGAGGTCTACAATGACGAGATTCGCACCGTGAGTAACTTGGTAAAACGTCCTTAGACGTATCCATTGCGCCTGTCATTCCGCGAGATCATCTACACCAGTGTCATGTACATGGAAGCTTTCGGAGCAGTAACGGAAGCTTGGATGAGAGCCCCGCTCAACAGCAGCGTATCTGATGATGAGGATGTACTTGGTCTCCGCGGGTTCGTAGACCGACGCAATAGAAGGGTATGTATGTGTCTGAGCACAATGTATGATGCAATATATGCATGATAGAAGATGATGTATACATCGGTTCCGAGGAGTGCTGAGTATGATTATGAGAGGATACGACTAGACGTACACATCGATCTTGCATGTGAGATGTAACCTACAAAGACAGACCTCTCTGTCAGCGTCTGATGCCAAACAGTTGCATTCCTGCCTAGAACTTCAGCTTTTTCAACGTTTTCCTGGAAACAAAAATGTATACCACGCCTGGTCACAGTCCTTGTGATGCTGGACCAGGCTGACACTGAGGTGTGCAGGCACGCTCGGGCAGCACTAAGTATCCCAGCTGTTGTATAGCGCGCGGCCCACTCCATACCTCGGAGCACTATAGCACCGGGAATCGAAATCGAATCTCAACGACTTTTGGACCAGGTTCGATAGCTCAAAACGGAATGAACCTTGTGTCAAGGCTGTAGTGGCTGAGCAAAAGCAAAAGTATCATCGAGAGAGATCATCAGGTACTGGTGCTGCAATCTCACCAAACGTTGAGAGACTTGTCCAAGGACCTACCTCCGCCTCGAGCCTTGGGCGTAAAGGCGGACGGACGAATATAGCAGTCAATCTCTCAGTAAGCATCGCGCCCCAACATCCAAGCATCAGATCGTCGACTAGGTGTATTTTGAGTCTGAGATCATCGACCCTGAGCGGGAACTCATCTCGTCGTCAGCACATCAAAGAAAATCTCACACTTCCCCACGGATCAGCATGCCAGCACATCGATCCTACCCAGTGATGCCAGCCGCACATCAAGGCATCCACGAATAAAACCCACTCGTTACCAACTTTGGTCCCGCGGAATGACGAAATGGATTGCAGCACCAGGTTTGGAGCGAGTGAACATCTTCATCTGCGCCCCTTGACGAGCCGCACATGCCAGGCCTGCGCTCCAGTTTTAATACAAAATGCGCAGCAACGGCTTACCCTGCTCCCCTGTCGATCGCACTATCGATACCCAGGGGTGCTCCTTCTGGACTGGGCTGGTGGTGGCTGGCCATGCATGCGTCATAGCCCTTTTTCAGGAGACAGACGCGAGCGCGCGGTGCCCGGTTAGCGAAATTGAGCGTTTAGGTTTGGCGTGTTTTGGGACTGGCGTGGGCTAAGACGCGTGGTCAAGCGGTGGCTTGCGGGTGCTTGGCCGGCATCTTCGCTGCGGTGGGTAGGGCCGTCGAAGTGTTTGGCTAAAGGTCGGCGCGCGTGTTTGTGTGGTTACTGTGGTGTTGGGCAATTCTCGGAGGGTTTAGGCTGAAGTGGAGGGTTCGTAAAAGAGATGAGGAGAGATAGGGTGAGTGAGCTTCCGAGGGGGA